CGGAACCAGGCGCCATTTTCTTCTTCACTACCTGTTCGTCTTCAGCTGCCTTGTATGCTCCACATGTTACTCGTTCTGTCCTGCTCAGCTCTAAGGCTAGATCGTTCATCATGTTGATTTTCCAACTAGTAACGTAGCACTCGGCGACAGTCATCCCATTCGCATAGAGGGCGCGGAACTTATCCGTTTCTCAGAAACCTTCGTTAGATTTAGCCTCAGACCGATCTTCCCACACACGTCATCAAAATGGGGCAGCATCCGTTTTGCTTGCGTGATGTTCCGTGTAATCGCGCTATCATCAGCAAAGCGAAGGTGCTATAGTTGCCGGCTACCGACTTTTACACTCATGGCTCTAATGTGTCCACTTGATGTTTTCGAGAGCAACGCTGAAACGTCTTTACGTTATAGTACTGCACTGTCGTAGCCTCTTTTTACGTTAATGGCGATGTCCTTGTCCTTCATTGTAGAATGGTGTGATCTTGATTGGAAAGTCGTTGTACAGCTCACGAATCATCTTGATGTACTGAGTTGACCTTGATTGCGCAAAGAATCGATGACAGCTTTAGTCTCAATCGAATCAAATTCCTTCTTCAAAACCTTGAGACCGAGAGGCATCCTGCAATTTAGCGAAACTTCGATGAGCCTTGTTATCGTGGGTATGTGGTTCATAGTTAAATCCTTTCGAAACCCAGCTTGCTCATGGTTGTCCTTCGTATTCTCTTCCAATCTTGTTAAGAAGTTCTCGTGTGAAGAGTTTGTAGTGAAGTTCTCGTGTGAAGAGTCTGTAGAAAATAAGTAGATAGGACGATGATTTCTGATGTCACGGCGGTCTTGCTTTTGTACAGCAACACGGTTTTGCTGGTACCATTGATTTGGAACCTTGTCCTCCTCAGGTACCGCGTGTAAAGCCTTTCCAAAGTTGTGAAAAGAATTGGAGATTTTTCAGGTGTTCTGTTTGATCCAATCAGGCCCTGCTGCTGCATGACTTTTCATTGACATGATAGCATGTCGAACCAAAGAAAAGCCGAAGTGTAACATATTCGTCTCCTTGAGATCATGCTGGAAACTGGACGTGGCTTGCAAAGGGATTCGAGTAAAAATCGTGGATGACATTGGATGACCACAACATTTAAAAGATGTTGTAGTCCCATCGGGGCGGTGGAGTGCGGTCATCATTGTCTTAAAATTGACGATGTTTCAGAGGGCGTTGCATATATTTATCTTAGGGCTGCATGCACTGACATCCCCGCGGGGAGGGGATCGCAGCTTAAAAGAAAGCTTTATATTTCGAAACTCCAGATACCTGGATTTCACGTTGTGTACCTATCCGTAGGTATTCCTACTACCCTTCACTATGAACATGTTGAAGAGGAGCGAGAAGCTGTACAAACCGCATTTTTCAGCTTTTATATGATCCCTGATGATCCCTGGCGCTTTTCTTTGAAGTCATTTTTCTTTCTCCGAAGTTAACGAAAACCTTCCAAAGTTGTACTGAACATCTAACTCGACAGTGCTAAGCATTTTGCTGATGAGAACAAATGATGTTTTGAAAAATTCGACTTTTCGCAAACTCATTTGTTCTCATCAGCAACATGCTTAGCACTGTTGTGTTAGATGTTCAGTGCAACTTTGGAAGGTTTTCGTTAACTTCGGAGAAAGAAAAATGACTTCAAAGAAAAGCGGCAGGGATCATCAGGGATCATACAAAAGCTGGAAAATGCGGTTTGTACAGCTTCTCGCTCCTCTTCAACATGTTCAAAGTGAAGGGTAGTAGGAATACTTACGGATAGGTACACAACGTGAAATTCAGATATCTGGAGCTTCAGAATATGAAGCTTTCTTTTAAGCTGCAATCCCCTCCCCGCGGGGATGTCAGTGCATGCACTTAGAGTCTTCGGGTCGACCATTACCTGTGTTCTTTTCTCCTTAAGATCCTCCTTGACTGCTTCTCCGCATTGCGCAAGTTTAAACTAAGTTGGTGAATGCCTGTATGCTCGTAGGAGGCAATGCTCTGATCCCGTGTAGAACTTCGGAACAACATCGAAGTCGGTCAGGCAGTACCTTCTGTTGACGATGATGTGGTCAATCTCGTTATGGTACTCTTCGGGCGCTTTTCAGGTCCATTATAGGGAAAGAAGGCTTTTGGAACTGTGATCCCTTAGAAAATCCTTGTCGTCATGATACCTCGGACAATCTCTCCCCTTGTTCGTTCCACTGTAGTCCGTAGGTCTCACCAAAAATGACCTTACAGCTTGTTTTTCTCTGCAGTTTCTTTCTTTGACTCCTACACAGTCAACTCCTCTGCTGTCGCATGTTCCCAAAAACAGTCTCCCTCCAGTACCAATCGTGGCGTTCAGCGGATGGTATCTCCATGTCTCGGCAGTCCGATGACGTCGTATTTGATCTTCTTTGCTTGCGCCATGAGGTCTTCGATACATGGGCCGATGCCAGCGTCCTTGCTTTGTAAATACAGATCGTCATTACTGCCTGCCTCGTTTTCAGCAGCCCAAATCGCCCTTCAAACCTTGTCCCCAGTGGCGCTGCCTTACCACTGACTTTTCCAAGATTGAGTGAGCTTTTAATATTAGGTCATTCCGAAAGTAATTTCGCTTTTTTCAGACGGACGCCACAGACGATGGAACAAAGATTGCTAAAAAAACATGGTAGCATTCGATGCAGAATTTCATTCTCTTTCTAATGGTTATGTAACTGTTGCAAAACAGTCAATGAGCTTTCAGAAAATAACCAAAACCTGCAACCCATGCTTTTTGAGATGGTCAACTTCTATGATTTTTTAAAACTTTCATATCAATCCTCAGAAGGATTGCAAGTAACGATTCGATAGAGTAAACCATATAGAATACGGCCTATTTTTTTCTCCTTTCCATAACTGTCATACATTTTTAACAGAATTTTAACTGATGCTACCGATTTCCATACTTGGGCAGCTTTTCTCTTAGAACAACAAAAGAAGAGCAGCTCGCGCACTACTCGATGCAGCATTTTCTCCTCTTTCTGACAGGTGTTTTTTATTTTTGATTCGTTTAGTTTCCGGGGATGAAATCATCATAATTCATTTCTTTAGCGAGCCCCAGGCTGTACCCGAAAAACTCGAAATTTGATATTTCGAACCCGTAAACCCTCACATGCTTCGTAAAATTAATGCTAACTCATAGTACTATCTTGGTAGTCTCAAATTCCGAAAAATTATGATGTTTGATGCGATTGTGGCTGAGGTAGGCCTGCAAAAATCAGATTGTTCTGTTAAAAAATCTTTCAAAAAATTACGGCGAGATACGAGAAAGAGAAAAAAATAATACTGTATTCTATAAGGTTTACTCTATCGAATCGTTACTTGCAATTCTTCTGAGGTTTGATACGAAAGTTTAAAAAAATCATAAAACTTGGTCATCTCAAAAAGCACATGGGTTGCAGGTTTTGGTTATTTTCTCAAAGCTCTTTGACTGTTTTGCAACATTTACATAACCGTTAGAAAGAGAATGAAATTCTGCATCGAATGCTACCAAGATCTCTTGATCTTGGTAGCATTCGATCTTGGTAAATCTTTGTTTCGTCGTATGTGGCGTCCGTTTGAAAAAAGCGAAATTCCTTTCGGAATGACCTAATATATCACTATGTTTAACGATTTTATTACTCACAGAAGCGGCTAGCTCGCTCAAATCTCCCAGTGGGAGATCATTTGTTAAAGGCGAATCCGAGCCCGCCTCTTTGACATCTACTGGGAATATAGGTTTAGGTATTGATGGAGGCGAGTAGTCCTCCACCCTGCTCCGCTTGCTTATCAGAGCAGGTCTCTTTTGGTCGGCGATTAGCTCCTATTCGCCACCTGGAAACGCCCCGAAGCCTCGCGACTATTCGGCTAGAGTCCCTCAATGAGGGAGATTCGTGGACTAGCTTTATTAGCCAGTAAAAACAAAGCTTCGTAACCAGAAACCGTAAATTAATCCTCTCAAATGTTGGTGGTATTTTGTGTAATTTTTTTCAAATTTTTTCTATCGTGATAAAAACAGCAACTTTAAAAATGTTCAAAAATCTGTTTACTTGGTTTGCAACTCAACTGAGGCCTGGATAAACGTAAATTTTTGGATTATTTGAAAAAAAGTGCTATTGCTTGCATGGTCGCTTTACACTGTCGAATATTGTCCTGATGTCCAAGTTCTAGTGATTTGTTGAATACTTAACAAAGTGACAAAATGAGTTATTCGTTTTTAGTTTTTTTAAGTGTTAAAGTAACAGATCGTTTTACTGATTTCGTGTTTTACTAATTTTTTCAATTGCCTTAAGTTCCCTTGAAATGGAAATAAGTTTTCAGCTGCAGTTTTCATGATTTTGTGCGTCTAGAGCTTTTGTATTAGGACTACAAGACCTGTTTTTATTTGAAGACGTATTGAAGAAACGTCATTTAGGAAAAAACACAAAAGTTTTAGTCAGGCACTCAAGAAAAACCTTAGAATGATTTCTGGATTTTCAGAATTCGATGAATTAGAGATTTTGCGAGTCCAGTACTTTCAGAAGTCAGATAGGTTCGTAGAAGATTTAGAAGATTAGTAGCAATAAAAAGCAAGTTATTTCCTCGAATATATCATCACAGCCAATTCCTTCCTCCTTCCCTCACTGTGAGTGTGTACGATAGCGAGGAGGCAGGGACTATAGGCAACTGCTCGTGAGCGTCCTTGTCCAACTCCATTACAGTATACCATTAACCTTTTGGACAAATGAAATTCCTGATTGGCCAGTTATCTTCATTTACGCAAAGGCGCAAAATCCTCGATGAAAATTCCATTTCCATTTACATAACCTTGTTAGAGTATATTGTAGTCGATAAATTCAACATGTCTCTATAAATCGAAGTGTGGCTAGATCTGTTCGCACCCCAACAGCTGTCCATCCTTGTCAGTTTTTTAGGATTCCATGTCATGAGATTTGCAAGACTAATTTCTATGCATTCGATTGTTTCAGACAAAATCTCTAGCTTCCAGGTGGCATCCTGAATCTCTTTGAAATTATGAGGTCTCGTTTGCAGTTGAGCAAAAAGCTTGCAGCAAAGAGCTCAACAACCTACAAAATAAGCTTTGCTAACTTTACTCAGTACTACAAATATATATTGTTGCCGAGCTCTTCAACACTATCTTCATGTCTTGGAAACAGCGGACGGTGAGTATTCTATCAATATTTTTTTGTTGCTGATACATTTTGAATGGACAATGCAGTCCCGTCCAGTCATGATTATATAATGTAAAGTTCAAGCAACTTTTAGTTGAGCCATTATTTAATTAAAGAACGCCCATAGGCTGCCGGCAACGGTTGCCGAGGTTGCCGGCGTTACCGGGGTCAGAAACAGCTTGGAGAAACGTGGAGGCTATCATGAGGTTGTGCAACAACCGGCACGCCGGTAACCGCGGCAAACCTAGCAACCTCGGCAGCCATTGCCGGCGACCTATGGCCGTTCCCTTATAGTGGAGTCAAACACTTTCTAAGACGTACAGGATTTAGGGCAAAGCTTACATCTTGAAACATACATATGTCTACCCTCGACACATCGATGACAACGTGCATTTTTAGTTTTCTGTCGGGACAATGCCTTCCACGGATAAGTCAGAATTTTCAAGCTAAAATCATGCATATGGTCAACTACAGTATACCTAGAGTAATTCCGTGAAGGGGCGAGAAACACAAAAGCATCTTTCAGGGTGAGAGCTTAAGAGAAATTCTGAGAAGTTTACTCCAAAACAGCAGTCGTTTTGACAAAATCTAAGCCATGACCCACCATGTGGGTCACGTTGTCGTCAATGTGGTAAGCACACTTGCTGCAGAAAGAATTACTACACGGCTAACCTCTAAGGTAACCTTTTGAAAGCGGGCAGAATTCTGTTATCTTAAATTTTTTGTGTCGAACAGATTTCTCATGACAAACAATTTACTTGACTCAAATTACCGCCAGCCTTCCTCAAAAATTTAAATCAAGTTAATTTTGCACTTTACCTAGCCGAACTTCTTCTCTAAGCTTGACATTCGAACGGCCCATCGCACTGCGGCTGCCGAAAACTCCGAAAACAAAGTCCTCGTTGCTTCGCGGAGAATTGGAGAACAGAAAAAAACATTTAAGATGTAAACAGGGGACCGTTTGCATTTTCCGCATTGGCGGCAAGATGTGTCCGCTGTCCACCATGAATAGTAGGAATGCCGCCGCCATTTGACAATTTTTAAGTGAAGGACAATCAATGGGAGATAAGGCGATTTAAGGAGATTTAGGAACTAATCTGTAAAGTTTAATGTGTAATATTAGTTTTAAACACAAACGCTATATGATAAAAATCAAATATCACCACTTGTTTTTTTTGAGCCATCGCAGCAGGTCTCGCGTCTGGTGTCTTCAGGGCCGTAGTAATCTATACTACTTGGCGGCATCAAAGATGCCGCCAAGTTGGCACACATTACGGAAGTTGCCACCTCCGACGGCAACTCGCGAATTGATGATAGTTTCTGATAATATCAAAAAGCCTTACTCCGCAGTAATAGGCACATGAAATTTTGGTGGCGCTGATAGCCGCAAAACAGTCGCATCGCGCGCGTTCGAACCTGCATGCGTCAACCACAACGCAGACGCACTTACCATTTGACCACTCGTTCAATTTCTATTTTCTGCGGCAGGTGTGATAGGAATGCTACCTAAGCGGCCCCTGTATGAGGGCATGATCAGTACATTGGATGTTAGACGCTGACCTGAAAAAACAGTGATTGATGAGAGCGAGCGAGAGACGAAATCGTTGCAAATGAGATTTTTAGCAATTGCAAAATAAAAATGGCGTTCTTTATGGTTTCGTAATATCACTGGATGTTTCTTGTGCATGCATATCATCAAATTGGAGAAAAAACGATATAATGGCAAAAGTGATAATTCTTCGGCAAAAAAAGTAAATTTTTTTGATTCTTTTGCTGGACGTAAGTTGTGTGATATTGCGCGCAAAGCAATCTCACAGACGCCGCCAGCAGGGTGCCGCTATCTCGACGGGTAGGGGCATGTCGGGGTGGTGGCACCTTGATCTCTCAAATGAGCACGCTATTTCTCGTGCTCTCTGACCTGGCGGCATCCCTCAGCGCTAAAATTTCGACGAAATGCCGCCAGGTCAGCTCGCGAAGTTGCCGCCAGCACTTCCTGCCTACCTCAACAATTTTGTTCAGAGGGATTTTTAGAATCTTTATTTGCCAAGTGAGGTTCTCTAAGGTCACAATGATTTGTTCGGCCAGGAAATCGTGGTGAAAAGGGTTCGGAGGGCAGAGACTTGAGGATGGTGTTCCCGCCAACTTCACGTAAAAGTGACGGCGACCTGACGGCGAAACATGCCGCCAGGTCGGGGGGATTACTACCGGCCCAGGTAACTTAACTTCGAAAAAGGTTTGCCATGTTTTCACTTCGCAACTTTTTCATTCTTTTTCATACGTCTTTCCAATTCAACTTGGTGCACGCATACACCAAATTCGGTGTCGGGTCTTTTTTCTTCGTTGTAAAAAAATCATTTTCTGCTTTAGGGTGCAGTTTTTCATTTCCGCCCGTCCACGAAGAGCTTATTGATTGTTGAGGATATGTGTATACTAAAAGCTTATTGGAGGTTGTTCGTCTTGCGGAGAATGGGATCGGTGAGGAGTGAAGGGCATCTATTAGGTTGTCCGGAAATTAATGTCCGTTTTGAATTTCAACCGCAATAAGTCATACACTTTTCATTCCTGAATAGCTTTCAAGGTACCATTTGATAGAGCAAAGCAATCTCTACAAGATGGCTATCTTGCCCTAACAACAGCTCTGATCCACCTCGAGTTTCGAGCCAAAAACTAAAAAGATTCAACTACCCGAAAAATCTAGAAAAATCGTAACTCGTTCATAAAAAACCTACAAAAATCCTAACTTGTTCACGTAAATACCATTCACCTAAGACATATATGTACGCTATTGCCGTATTTTTTTCTCTGCTAGAAATTGAAAAAACGAAAATTTTCATGCTTTTGCCAAAGTGATGCTGTGTCGCCCCACATAAGTAGATGTGTACTACAAATCGGTAGAAGTATATACGGGAATTTTCAGCTCTCTACAGGCTTTAGTTCTCGAGAAATTTCGAACATATATTTCATTAGTCAGGTGGTCCAAACTAAAATTCAAATTTCTCGAGAAACAAAGCTTGTAAAAAGCTGAAAATCCACGTGTTTGCTTCTACAGATTTGTAGTATACATCTACTTATGTGGGGACGACACAGCATCACTTTTGCAAAAGTATGAAAATTTTCGTTTTTTCGATTTCTAGCAGAGGAAGAAATACGGCAATAGCGTACATATACGTCTTATGTGGATAGTGTTTACGTGAGCAAGTTAGAATTTTTGTAGAATTCATACGAACTGAATTATGATTTTTCTCTATTTTTCAGGCAGTTCAATCTTTTTAGTTTTTGACTAGAAACTCGAGGTGGATCAGGGCTGTTGCTAAAGCAAGACCGCCCTCTTGTAGAGCTTGCTTTGCTCTATCGAATGGTACCTTGAAAGCTATTCAAGAATGAAAAGTGTATGACTTGTTGCGGTTGAAATTCAAAACGGACATTAATTTCCGGACAACCTAATATAAAGGATGAGTAAAAGAGGGGAATAGGGGGAAAGAGATTGTTGGGGATATGTGTATATGAATAGCACATGTCTCACTAGCGATGGACAGTAGTGATAGGGTCACCGTGTTTGGAGGAACAATGAGGGGAGAGGCGACATTTGCTTGACTGTCGGGGAAGTCTTCCAACCCCTCGAATCTTGTGCACAGTGAATTTTGTACAAAACTATCCTTAGCTTTGACTGCATCGAAACCGGAAAAAAAAAACAAATGCATTTTTCTGAATTGTGCCTCGAACTCTGCAAGGACAACATTTCGTTTGCTTCTCAAGTACAAAATGATATAACATGTCGTTGAGCCACATATGCTATGCCATCTCTTTGAGGAGTGGGTGATTTGAGACAAGCATATATTATTTGGAAAGGCTGATTGTGCTTTTTAAGCCTTTTAGCCACATATGCTATGCCATGTATTAGGTCGTTTTATAGGTACGTAACGTTCTATGTACCAATAAAGCCATCAATTTACAGTAAAAATCAATAAATTATATTCCTCGTTGTAGCGCACGACCTTTTCGCACATTCTTATTAGCTTCTCAATCTCGGTTTTTCAGCGTGCGGGATTCCAAGGTCATCTAACCAGCGCTCAAACTACTTACTCAAATCGATACATGCACCATTTATAAGGTTTGCTAGAAAGCGCAAATGATAATCTGGTAGAGATTTGGGGAGTACTTGGGGTACTGAATCTCCAGTTAAATCGTTCAGAACATTCTGACGACGTTTGCCGTAGGAGGCCAAGGTGGTTGTTTCGCCTACAGAAAAACTCAGTGAATCTGTCTGTTTGGCATTTTCCGCGGTAGGGCCTGGTTAGGCGAAACATTAGGATTGCATACGGTATGGTTGACCATCGCCTACTTGTACAGCAATTTTTTATGCAGGACGTCCTGCCTGTGTCCCGAAAAATCTTGTTTAGAAACACTCTGCTCAGCCCCTGTTTCTTTGTAGCAATCCAATCCTTTTTTGTTTCATGTTTCGAGCGCCACGTTCCATAATCTCAAGGTTTTTCCTTTTTGCCTTTTGAGATTTCCATGTATGGAAGCGACGAGATCCGAATGAATCAGCTTTCCACCAGAATCAGTAGACGTATTTTAAAAAGCACAATCAGCCTTTTCAAATGATATATGCTTGCCTCAAATCAACCACTCCTCAAAGAGATGAGGACGAAAATTGAAACGCTACAAACTTATGAAACGAGCTAATATTTGCTTCGTCCAGAATAAGCATAATCAAGCTTTCGCTGCAGGGCTTACTAAGGTCACGCCGAGCTAGACGATTTTAGTGCTTGCATACTGGTGTCAGAAAAATGTTAGAGTCTGATCACAAGCTATCTGCTCGGATAATGATCGGACTTTGAAGTTGGCAATGAAAGAAATGGCATTAGATCGCGCTTTTCGAACGGATATTGTGTCGCGATACCATGTGATGTATACCGCGCCCTTCTTCAGCATCAGGGCCGGTAGTAACCTCCCCTCCCCGGCCTGGCGGCAGGTCTCGTTGGCAGGTC